AAAAAATAAAAAAAACATTGGATGCCGACTCCCAAGTCGCCTTCTTTGGAGAACGACTCCAGCCGACGACCCTCGACCAAACCGGAGTCGTCGACTATTTTTAGAGTCGTTTTTCCATCCCCCTCTTTTTATTACTTGTTCCTATTTTTTTATGATCTTGATGCTCATTTTTTTCCTAATTTTCCATTAGTATCCTTCTATATTTTTTCCATCCTCTTTTTTTTAAAATCATGCTCTTTTCACCCGATGCGTCCGATACGGGCAATAAATACATGCATCGCATCGCTTAAGCGATGCAATGCATCGGTATCGCTAAAACGATGCGATACCGATACAGGGCGATTTATCGCATCATATCGCATCGTTTCATTGTTGCAAGCTAACGTTTACATATCATGACCGGACATGCACCCCTTGTTGGTATGTAAACCAGAAGGATTTCCTTCTTGTCATATGGGAGCGACTCCCAAATCCCCTCAAGCATGAGGGGTGGTTTGGGGACTTGACTCCCAAAATTGCAAAAAATAAATATTAAAAAATAAATAAAACATCATTGGATGGCCGACTCCCAAAGTCGGCCATCCATTTGGAAAAACGAATCCCATTCAACATCTGAGGACTGTATTTGGGAGTAGGCAACTAAAATTTGGGAGCCGTTTGGCCATATTATAAACCAGTCAATTATCCAAAAAAAAAAAAAAAAAAAAAAAAAAAACAAGGCCCCCAAAGGGGAAAGATGAAGAACCAACATGTTCAAAACATGGTGGGTTTTTTCAAAAGAAGTCAATTAAGTAATGGTGGATTTGGTTAAATTTGTAGCATCTGTTTTTTGATACAATGTATTCAGAGAAAATAAGATACAAATACATCTATTGCATTGATTTCAACTTTCACATTTGCTAGAACCAATGGTGTCATATTTTTCAACTTGGATGTGTGTATTCTAGTTAAACTGGGATACCCTCAACCCAGCCAAATATTTTTTGCAGTGCCTGAGTCAGACTTTTGGCAATATCAGACCTGAAAAATTGGAATCAAGGTGTAGAAATCACTTTTATAATTTTCATACATAATATCTGGGATTGGACAAAACCCTTCAAGTTTTTGTTTGATTACTGAAGTAATTATAGCTGATGAGAGGGAGGAAGACAGCATAATGCTTTAGGTGCCATGAGAGCTGGCTAGGGATAGACTAGACATAGTTGATAGAAAAATCAAGGGCTCCACAATCTGGACAGGAAGTAACAAGTCCCATCCCCGATGAAGCCTCGGGGAGTCGGGACCGAGCGGCAATCGTATTTCGATCCAAGTTCGAAACCACGGGAGGACAGGAAAGGAAAAGAAAGGACCGCCAAAACCCTTGTCAAGCTAACGTCTACATATCTATCATGACCGGACATGCACCCCTTGTTGGTATGTAATAAAACTTTTATATCTCCTTCTTGAAGGCTCGCAGTTCCTAACACTTGCTTCTCTCTTAAAATTGGACTTAATAAAAGGCGTTATCGGAGGGTCAGGATTGTACAAACTCGAAGGGATCGAGCCCGTGGAGAGCCTGAACATAGATACCCCATGGGGTCGGCCCTCGTCCCCGATCACACTGTTCAAACTGCCCAGTGGTCCAGTGGTCGCGTTCCTCGCCCGACATGGTGTCTCACATCAATTTACCCCTTCTGAAGTCCCCTCGCGAGCCAATATTGCCGCCCTGAAGAAAATCGGATGTCAGGTGATCATTGCGTTCTCGGCTGTCGGGAGCTTGCGGGAGGAAATCAAGCCTCGAGATATTGTTGTTCCCAGTCAGATTATCGATCGTACCAAGTCCGTCCGACCCTGCACTTTTTTCGAAGGTCTCGGTGTTGTAGGCCCATGCGATGTTTGGCGAGCCGTTTGATACCGAGTTGACGGGACTGGTCACTAAATCTATCAAAGAAGCTGTTACCGGCTTCGAGATGAATGATCGGATTGGCGTGCACGCCGAAAAGGTGGCTATTTGCATGGAAGGCCCTGCATTCTCTACCCGGGCCGAAAGTAACATGTATCGCATGTTTGGCGGGGATATTATAAATATGTCGGTTCTTCCGGAAGCTAAGCTTGCCCGAGAGGCTGAACTGAGGTTAGTTTGTGTTGTATCCTTATTAACCAATGGTGTCCATAGTTTGTTGACATCACGTGTCTTGATTTAGCTATGCATTGATTGCTCAAATAACTGATTACGATGCTTGGAGGGAAAGCGAGGAACCGGTCACGGTAGCCGAAGTTATGGCCACCATCGCCGCCAACGTCTCTGTTTCCAACCGATTGACCCTAACGATCTTGGATGAAGTCCATAATGCAGTAGCTAAGGGGCAACTCAAGACTTGTAAAGGAACAATGGAATACAGTGTGATGACAAAGAAGGAAATGATCTCGGAAGAGTCTAAGAAGACCCTCAGCTTCATCTTACCTTATTTCTCTTGATGAATAGCTTGCACATCTCCCTCACTCAACTTCTGTCCCCATGGAATATCTAGAAATGAAGATATTTTTCGCCCTTTTGAATTCTCATGCCAGATGACCAGAAGCTGCCATGCACCATCCCAATCTCTCAAATTGAATGGTGCTTTCAAAAGCACCATTTTTTTTTATTATAAAAAATGGGAAAAGGAAAAAGTTTCAAAGGTATGAAAAAACGAACTCCTTGCTCTGTTTGGCAGTGATATATTGCAAGCAATACATTGTGAATTCTTGTGACATCTGATGAGGTTTTGGTGGACCTGATCAGATGTCACATAGGATGTCAGGCAAGAACAGCAAGATATCACTTGGCTGAGATAGTCCTCAGGAAATCCTCTCCCCTACTTTTTCCCCCCAAGTTCTGGCATTCAATCCTCCAAAACCTGCAGCAGGTTTTGGAGTCAGGGGTCCAATTTTTTCTAAAAAAAACCTGATGGGTTTGGGAGTTGATCCTCCCAAACCAAATGGGTTTTTGGGGGTTGGTGGGCTAAAAGGAGCCCCTGATGGCCAGGAGGATTCCTCCTGGCCTCAGAGTACACTCTCAACAAACTGTGATGATTAAGAAGAGTTCTCTTTATTGCAAAATGTCTCAAACAGCCAGTAGTAGTAGAAAAAACTAACAAGAGAATCAATAAAGAGAATCAAAGAGCCAGAACCACAGTTAAGCATCAAATGATAAGAGTCACAGTCATCAATAAAGAAAATACCAACATCCTCTGAGAACAACAATAACAATGACTAAACAGTACGATGATTGTTTGAAGATAACAACTAAGACTTGAACAACGAACTAACACCAAACGATATTTTAGTTAACATGACAATGATCAAGAACAAAATAAACAAAGAAAGAGACAACAAACGAATAAAAGCTCCTTGAATTCGAATGATGATCGCTCCTCCTGGATTGGTGTGGTTTGTGATTTGTGTCTGTGTATCTAGATGATTATCGTCAATAAGTGTTATGATCACAGTGTTTGAGATGAATGTATGAATACCTTATTGACTTCTTGACTTCTTGACCTTGATGAAAAAACGTGTCTTGATTCTTGAAGTCTTGACAAGATTGATTGAAAAAGAAGAAAAGACTAGAACATTTGTACCACCGTTTGACTGAAGCTGGCTTGACTCTGATTATGTAATCATTTGAAATGTAGACAACAACTCAACCTCCACGCGCACTTTGACCACCCGTCAACTCCCACAGCTGGAGTTGCTAATTATTCCTCAACACAAACTATCAAGAGTGTACACTTGATGGTGGAGAGAAACCTCCTTCCTTTCTGCCATTGAGAATATACATACACTCTCAGTGGCCAAGAGTGTTCTTCCCAGCCCTCAAGAGTGTACAACTCTCAATGACTGGGAGTGTTCCTCTTGGTCACTGAGAGCTGTACACTCTCAGCAACCAAGAGGAAAGCTCTTGTCTATCAAGTTGTACAGAGTAGGGTGGAGAATGGGCCAGGTTTGTACAGGGTTGTGAACTGGGTCAGTGGGGAAAAAGTCACTCAAGTTAAACTTGGTTTGATTCCAACCAATGATATATAAATTGAAGGCAGGTACCTTGTAGTTATATTTCATTGGTTGAGATTCAACCATATTTAACTTGATTGAGTGCATCCCAGTTAAACTGGGATACCCTCAACCCAGCCAGCTATTCTTGCATTGTGAGCGTTCCAGCTGTTCAAACTGGGCCTGGATCATTTAAGTCATGATTTGAAAAAATTAAATGGAAAACACATTCTCCACCCTTGTACAGAGGGGGGGCAATCCTCAGCAGCCAGGAGGGTTCCCCCAGCTGCTGAGTGCCTACAAATCTTGATGGCACTCCCAGCCGTCAAGATTTGTAGGACATTCCCCGGAATGTTTTTCCGGGGAATTATTTTTTATTATTATTTGTTGGGAGCTGACTCTCATTCCCAGTTCAGGAATGGGTGGTACAACTCCCAAGTTTGAGGGGGGGGGGGCAAGTTTTTGGGGCTGGGGATGTCCTGGGATAGTCCCCAGGCAGTCCCCCAACAACTCCCAAATTTGGGAGTTGATTAACTAAGGCCCTAAACAAATATGCTCATATGCACTTCGGCCCCTTGGTTTCTCAACATTCTGCCAATGTTCAGATGATGTTGAGTGGGAGTCCCAGCAAGATTAAATGGAGGAAATGTATTCCAAATCAACTTCTGCTTGGATGTGGTGTAAGCTACTAAGGCAGTGGCCAGAGTGAAAATCCAGCAAAAATTTTTTCTGATGTATGGGGTTTGTTTCTGTTGCTATTGAGGCTTTTCACAATGAAGAATCCTATTTAAACACCACTTGATCTTCTTGTGTTTGGTTAAGTTGAAGCCCTTGATGTTTTTGTACAAAGATATGATGGTTTGGTGTGATTTAGTTCAACCATCATTTTAACTTGAAAATGTTTGAATTTGATGTTTTGGAATTTAAAAAAAAGTTCCAGAAAGCTGAAAAACATGTACAGAGGCAGCAGTGGGCCATCACAATATTTCACAATGTTTGTCCCCAGCTCAATAGGTGCTTTGATTCATGATTCACACGCAGGGGGCATCCATAGGTCTGTAAATGCGAGCAGCAAGTCCTCCATGATTGGCCTGTGAAATGGATTCATAGAGCTAGTAGATCTGTTGAATCTCCACATTCCTCAAGAGTTGAATTCAAACTACCCTTTTTGCTCAGAAGAAAAAAAAGCAGTTGACAACATGTGGAGTGCTTTGTACTACTCTGCTTTCAAGCTATTTATGTGATTTTTGCAATATGGCAAATTTCACAAAAATGATTAATCATTATCTTTATATATAGGTGACTGAGGTGTCAATAAACAAAACTATTTTTAATCTGATGGATGAGATGAGTGCTTTTTTGGTCTGTTTGTTTTTGTGTTCGAACAAGTAGAAAGGAAATCACATATGCACAAAGAATTGATTATACAAAAATTTGAGATACCTTTTGATCAAACTAGTCGAGCAATTACCAGAAGAAAATCTGATTCAGGACAGCAAACATCTTACACAACACATTAATATGATAGACTAGACGAATTTAAAAATGGACCGCGTTATACGCTTGTTCACCACAACTGGTTCTACTGATTGAGTCATGATGTTGGTGGTAAGGAGGGGGGTGAGAATCATGAGACCGAGAATTGGGAGTCAAAAGAGTCCTGGAACGGTGATCGATTCCGAATCCGCCGATCGTCTCAACGGGCGAGGAAAACCAATTCAAACCCAAATCAGAAAACGACCCATCCTCGGCCGTCTGTTCGGTGGAGAATGACAAGCTTCCACCGATTCCTTGACGTCGCCGTTGCCCCTCTTCAACCACTCTTCCGCAATCTTCTCGGTTTTCATAAACCATACTATTTTCTTGATCGTCGACCAGTACTTGATCGTTCATTCCCCTTAAATTCTGCGAGCCAGAGCCACCCAATCCAAAGATCCCTTGGATCGTAGTAGTAGGGGATTGATATTCATTGAGCGATCCGTAAGGCGGATTGCCGGTCGGACTGGAAGTGAAACCACTCAAATCGAACAAGAGTGGGCTTAATACTTGATTGCCATTTGATGGGCATTGTGGCTGTTGCTGCTGTAATGTCTGGTGGCTAGGGGTTTGAGGATAGGGTTGTTGCATGTTACGATTAGAGCCCCAAAACCCAATCATTTCTTCCATGGCTGTAGTAGGCAGAGCTGGTGGCCCATGTAAACACTGTCTATCTCCTTCACCCTGCAAGAGATCACGAGGGGGCCTATTGTTCGAGTCGACCATGCTGTTGTTAGCTCCTGTAGTGGGAGAGAGCACTGTCGGATTGCCCGCGGTAATTGAAAATTCGGATGGCCCGATTTTGCAACCGGAACTTTTCTCTGGATATATTCCCATTCCCATTTCATCGGGGGACCTCACTGCCGGCTGGGCTTGTGGAGTTGGATTAGGAGCTTGTTCACGGGCTGAGGGATTTTCGGATATTTCACCTATCTTTTTGGAAGCATCCATACCCATTGAACACCAATCCGATGTAGAAATTGATCGTACAGGTTTCATGTTAACATGATGGGCACCGTTCCTGAAAGGGGTCATTGGCTTGCCAAGACCCCAACGCGAGTTCTGGTGAGCTGTACTGGCAGTTGTGGAATGCAATTTGTTGTTACCAAGTGTTGATTTGCTTGAGAAAGAGTGAAGGTGTTTCTGATCAGCGCGTGAATTCAACAGATGATGCTCGAGATCGCTCGAAGAGGCTGGTCTCTTTAGCCCTCGATCTGCTGAAATAGCTTTCTTAGGTTGTCCTGTGTCAAACTGTGGAGGATCGTGACTGCTTGGTTGCTGCTTATATTCTAGAAAGTCCACATCTCGCAAATCTACGAGACCCGAAAGGAGTTCCCATGCCCTTACAGCTCCTGTCCAAGTGGGCTGGTAAGACGAATTAAGGTAGCATGAATATCAATTGAGTTAGGGGCATGGAAGCTAGTGTCTGGAGGGATTACTTACTGCCATTTCTTTCAAGCTATTCATGCACTTCAGCAAGTTACTCTTAGCGGCTAGAGCCAAGCCGGCTTCCAACCTCGCGTTGTTAACCTACAATGTTATTATGACCAGCAATGATGCGGAAATTGATCAATGGGAAGTTACGATCAGCATAAATATCATGCGAAATCTGAATAGATTTCGAAATGAATTACATGTAATATCGCAGCTGTGAAGATGTAATAGACTAGGAAAGCTGGTGCCTTCCTCAAGCCAAAAGCCTCGTGATACGCTTGGGCAATGTTCGTAATTGCGTTGGCAGCGGTTGTGCAAATGCTATGAGACGGGTGTGCGGGTGGAGAATCGGTCGGATTGTTACCTAGGGTGTCTTGAGAGCGTGACGCCGGTATGAAAGGTCGATGAAGTAGTATCAAGGCAGTATAGAATTGGGCATGCAGTGTAAGAAGGTGTGGAGTGGGAGCCCGCTTGTTGGACTCGTGACTCTTACCGCCTGCTTTGGTCGGCCTGCTAGGAATTGATTGAGGTTTGTAGTGTAACTGTTCGGGTAGGTCAAGGTACCAACGGGCAAGATTTTGATCTAGAAGAGATAACAAGGTTTCACTCGATTGACCAATCACTCGAATCCTGATCGCATAGATGTTAGCAACGATTCGACTGATAAGGACCGAAAGGGAAGCTGCTCGATTGAAGCAAGAAACAGTATGAATCTTCTGTTCGGCGGTGACATTGGGGTCTTGAGAGGGGCAATCAGCACGAGAAGACAGCTCCTCGACAGCAATAGGATCTGCCACCTCGACTTCAGCGAGCTCATTCACTTGACGATCTTGGACTGCGTTTCGATAATTGAGATTGGCGGGTGGTAGGTCCATTAAGCTTTTTTTGGGCATACATCCACTCCATGGCTCATGCTCGTCTGGTTCATCGGTCGAAGGAAACGCGGTATCATAATCGCGCTCAAAAATCATCATGGGTCGCCCGATGTACGTGCTCACATACTTATCCATGTTCACACAAGCCCACCAAACCCTTTTCCTGATTTGTTTATCTTCGTATGTAAATTTCTTGACCGGCATAAACCATTTGTCAACATCTCGGAACAGTCCCATGTCTTGGGCCATTCTAATAGCCATCCCGGTATACCTGAGAGAAAAACGACCCAAAGAAAGAAGGTACCTCGGTTAATCAACTGTGGAGACCATAGCCTATGTGGAAAAACGAAAAAAATAATCTGGTAAAATTGAATTTCATTTTCACTCACAGCCAGCTTTCGGCCATTGCACCAGCGCCGATTTCTCGGTAAGCCATTAGAATTAATGATTGGCAGTTGGTGAGCTTGGAATTGCCGTAGTCCAAGTTCAACATTTGCTTGGCTTTTTCCAAATAATTGTCACCAGCATTCCAGTATTGGCCTTCCGTGGGCGCACTTGAAGACTGATCCGAGTATCGAGCTGAGATGGAGAACATGACCAACAAAAGCAAAATTGAGATTCGATTGGTGGGTCCGAGTCCGCTCACGGGTGGTTCTGTCTGTTGGTCTGGCTGGTAGATTGACGGTGGTGATTGATGTTCCGAAGGGTCGCTAGAACTTTCGTCAGTCGATGAAACATTCTTACACATCGCATGACACCAAATTTGATTCAAGCTCCAATGGGGTCGGGCACGTTTCACGGTGTCTAGGTTGGTCATTAAGTTTTGAAATTGAGCCATGAACTCTGGCTTATAGAGGATTGGCATCATAGGATGAACAAATTCCCAGTAGAGGTCCAAGAGATGATTCATGGTTTGCTGGCTCGGCAATAGCTCTAGAGGATTAACCAACTCTAGAATGTAGGAACTGGTCGGTGATCGGCGGATGGGTGCAACAGGCCAAAAGCCAGGTTTGGGAAAATGCCAAAAAAAGTCTTTGTATCTTTGAGAAGCTGAAATTAGATAAAGGCCCGACGATCGACCGTGATATCTAACTTCGTCATTTTCGTCCAGGCTGAGTTGACCGACAACATCGGCTAGTTCACTGATGGTGGCCGGAGAGTGTTGTTTGGTTGATGAGAGATCTGAATTCGGAGGTCGTAGAGATTTGTTACACTCGAAAGTAAATTGTGATTTATTTGTGCCAAGAGTGGATAGTTCAGAACGACTGAGTGTGAATGTGGCCGTGCCGGTGTGAGGAATGGTGGTGGTTGAAGAAGGTTGATTAAATGTAGTAACTTGAGATTTTGAGCGGTGATTTGAAGACACGTTCGATTCTAGTCTACGCCGGCGGTTTTTATGTTGAAGATTGGTATCATCGTTGGGAGGAGGGGGAGGAGAGTGATCGAGTTGACTGTCTTCACATTCCGAATCATCATCTATATCAGGGGATTGGCCGTTGGGCTGACTTGATTCTTGAGAGCGATGATCCTTGAAGTCAAAAGTTTGACTTAGGCGGTTAACACCCCAAAGGACCTTTTGGGTATCGGTCAGGTTCAGTTGCTTCCTACGGTCGGAAGATGAGTTGGTGGCAATTATCGAGTCGGGCGGCTTCCAAGATTTCCTAGGCTTGCCTTCGGTGCCTTGTTGAGCAGCTATTTTGAGGTCACTGGTCAACAACTCTCTAACTTCATTGTCACCGATCAATTCCGAGAATAAGGCTTGAGCGCGTGGATCATCATTTTCTAAAAGACCGCCCAACAGTGCTTCCATCCGATGAAGCCTGGATTCGATCGCTTCGATGTAACCTTTTGGCGGACCTCTACATCAGGCAGCATGATGCATTTATTCAAGTCAAGTCAAAAAAACAAGTCAGCAAGAACACGTATGTACAGGTGAAAACTCTCTCCTTGGTCTTCTGATTAGCAGATGGGAGAGACGAGATGAAACTTGATTAGAAATCTTGTGGTGTGATTTACCTTTTACGAGAAGTACCATTGAATGTACACTCAACCCCGTTGGTCACACAATTCTGACAGGGTCCAGCTGTGGGGATAACCCCATTGGCATCGGGTGCTCGAGTACACTTGCATTTAGACTTGCGACAGTTGTCGCCTGTGATCAGAACGATCTGGTCAGTTGACATGGGGGGGGGGGGGGGTTAGAACCTGCGACAAAACACTGACAAGCTTTTGTAGTCCTTCGTTTGACATCCTTCAAGACTTTGTTATCTTTTTGAAATCCTGAAGAAGGAGTGAATTGGAGGTGAATGTTTTCAGATTGGATATGATTGGGCTGGTTGGTAGAATGATGTGTATCTGGGATGATGGGGGCTGAGAGTGGTGAGACTGAGGAGTGGGCCAGATGGTGGAAACTAGAGTCTTCATCAATTGGCTTGCTGGTTGTTGGGGTGGTAGTCGGATGATCTGCGAGTACCAGGTCGTCGTCGGGATGGTGGTGGTGGTTCTTGAATTGGTCCAGATTAGATTTGAGATTGGTGGTAGATGATGAGGCTGAGCTCTGAATGGTGACCGCTGAAGGAATATTGTTCCGTTTTAGATGTGTGGATCGGTTAGAGGACTGATTCCATTGGTGGGCTGATTGTGCCTCAAGTGTGGACGCAGCAGTGAGAGGGGTCTGCTTGGGCTTGGTGGTCAGAGCAAAGTTCTCGGTGGATGAGGATGAGGATGGTGAGGCTGATGATGATGGTGATGGTTTAGTTAGGATGAGAGGTGCTGGTGGTAGTTTCTGTTTGGTGTTGGTGAGTGAAGATGGTGGGGGTGAGATGTTGGTGGTGGTGTTGATTGAGGTTGAGATTGGGGACCAAGGTTGAGGTTGATTG